AAAAGTAAAGTAATAGAATCTATAGTCAAATCATAAAAGGAATAATAATATCAAAAGTAAGTTAGGATATATGAAAGGCTACATAAAAAAGATAAAAATCAAATATTTAAAATCTTTAAAATCATGTAAAAAAAAATTTTTTAAAAAAAAGCTAGTATAAATAAAGTAAAATGAAAAAAGAAAATAGAAAAAATTAATAAGAATGTTTTTAAGCCTCAATTAATATAAAAAATCAAAGATTCTTTATTGAAGATAAAATAGATGAAATAAAAAAAACTTGTAAAATTTTATAGTAATTAATAAAGATATTTAATTTCGGGCTATTTATAACTTAAAAAGTTTTTTTTTCTTACCTTTAAAATTTTGTTTTGTATATTGCTTATTATTTTACTAAATTCTACTTAAAGTTATATAATTTTATTGTATTGTTTTACAAAATATTTTATCATGAATTCTTTTACAACAATAATGCTAGCTAGTTCGAATATTTCTCAACAAACAAAATCAAAAAAGCATGCTGGAGGAAAGCATAAACATTATCTTACAGAGTATATTATTATCACCGATGAATATGTTAATCCACAAAAACCCAATGCCAAATATTGCTATTGTTTGGCCTGTCATGAATCAAACTCTGAAAAGGTTAAAATTGTTAATAGAAAAAAATTAGTAAGAAATCATTTTAAAAACTGTATATATTTTATACGCAAAGTTGGTGGAAAGGAACAAGCTAAAAATATCTTGAATAAAGAAGAATTAGAAGCTTCTAAAAAGTTACGATTAGATGAAGAAGAAGGTAAATTTTATATATTAATATAGTATAATATCTTTATTTCTATAATTATAACACTACTGTATATAAATATTATTTATTTTAGAATCTTCAGATGACAATAGCTTAGTTAGTTCAAAATCTGAAAGTAAAAAAATAGACTAATTTCTTGCCCATACATCAACATTCTTAAAACAAGCCCAATTTGAAGATCAAATATTAAACATTACAATAACAAATGGTTGGTCATTCTGTTGGGTAGAAGACAAAAATGTTATTGCATATTATCGTTGGTTAAATCCTCATCTAGCATTACCTAGTTGTAAACAGTTAGCTGGACGTATTTTAAAATCTGCAACTGATACTAACTGATCTTATATCCAAAATAAAGCACGTAATGATTCACATAGAATTATAATTGCTTTTGACAGATGGAAAAATGTAACAAATCAGAAAATACTAGATTCAGTGTTAATTAAATCCAATGGTGAAACTTTAGTATAGAAAGTAATTGATATTAGCAGGCAAAGAAAAAAATATAAAAATATTATGGAAATTACTAAAGAAATATTTGAGGAACTAAATGCATTAGAAATAGAATAATTGGGCTTGTAACAGATAGTGACGCTGCTTATGCTGCTTCAAAATAATATTAAACTTATACATTTTTTTATTATTTACTAAATGTATTTATAGAGGTTTATATATTAAAGATACTATATAAATTAATTAAAATTTTTTAATTATAGACGCAGATTTAGATTAAAATATTTAGATAAAGTTTTTTTATCATGTTATGCCCATCAATTCAATTTGTGTATGGGAGAAATTTTTAAAGAATCTGATAGTTTTAATATAGTAATGAAATCAGCAATTACAATTGCAAGTTATTTTAAAAATTCTAACCATTCTTATTTTATTAGTAAGCTTTGTGATGAGCAGTATTCTTTGTATAAGCATTTTATTTCATTAGCAAATCCTGTAGAGACACGTTGGAATAGCTATTATTACTGTGTTAGCTCTTTACTTAAATCAAAAAGTGCATTAAAAGTATATTTAATTAATTTTTTATATTATTATTTTTAATAAGCTTTATAAATATTATAATTCTAATTATAATACTAATTATATAAAAATTTGTATATTATATAGATGCTTGTTGCTAAATTCAAATTTTTAGAAATAACATCAAATAATGAATCTTTAGGTCTTTACCTACCTAAAAATATATGCGAAATTATTAATAATAAACAGTAGTGGTCTCAACTTCAAGAACTTTCTCAACTTCTTCTTTCATACTGTGCATGTTTTAACAAACTACAATGTGACAAAGCACGATTATATGAAGTTCTCCACTGCATTTCTTATTTTATAAAGTTATATAAAGGTTATTCTGATAAAAATTTTGCTATCCGTATGATTAATTGTTTAGAGCACAAATGGAATTCCTGGGAACAGCTATTATTACTTTTTTCATTTCTTCTTCATCCTAAATATAATATATTAATGTTTAGTTCTACAAATGAACAGCTTTACTTTTAACTTAGCGATTGGTTAATATACTATTATTGTGCTTGGTTTGGTAATAAATCTCTTACTCTTTGAGAAATATCGAAAAGGAGAAAAGCCATTTACAGAACGTGTTAGCAACCAGTTTAATAATGATATTATGGGATATTGGGAATATTGTGCTATATCAGCAAAAGAATTAGGTAATATAGTATGTCGTATTTTTGGAATTTGTGTTAATTCTGCCTCTGTCGAAAGGCTTTTTTCATGTATGGGCTGGTTGCATAATAAGTCACGGTTTCATTTAAAGGTTTGTTTAAATTTATTAAAATTAACTTTTTAATTATTTATATATATTTAAATTATTAATTCTAAAAATTTTAGTTTCAAAAAGTACTTAATATGAGCCAACTTCATGCTACTATGAATCGACATAATCGTTTAAAAGAAATTAAATTATCAATGAAACAATACAAACAAACTAATGTTGCATTACCAATACTTAATAATGATGTATCCATGGTTGATAATAATTCAGATGATGAGGAAGAAGAAACTAATGAAGAAAATAAACAAGCTATTAACGTAGATAATTGGAATGAAATCGTACAATAGTGGACTGTAATAATCTCCGAAGAAGAAGAAGAAGAAGAAATTGATCTTACTATAGGTGAAGATAATATGGATAGAATTGTTAATAATACAGAACATCTGGCTATTAACAATTATGCAAAGTGAAAATTAGAAACTTTGTTTAAAGATGATGTTCCTGTTCTGGCATTTATTTTTGATTTGTAAATATTATTATAAGTAGGATTTTATAAGTAAATATTTAAATTGCGTATTATATTTTTATCTAAATAAATTACAATATATTTTATTACCTTATACCAATTCTTTCTATAGAATAACTAAAAAAGTACTGTTACAAAAATTAAGCTGAATAAATCAAATAAATAAAATCTGTAAATTGAATTATTATCTATTTATAACTATTTTGCTATCTACAAATATTTTGTTAACTTCTATAGCAATATCACAAACAAGAATAAGTATTATTAATTATTCGCTCAATTTATTTAGAAAAGGAGTAATTATTATTTCAGTTCTCTTTTATACATATATATACTTTAACTCTAACTTATTGTATCATACTTTACTCATATGAATTTTCTATAGATTACTATATAAATTATGCTCTTTAATTGCCTACTTTTATGCACATACTTTGCTTGTACTAATGTTTCTTATTTAATTTTTATTTCATAATTGCAAATTGGATTAATTGATCTTCATATATATAAAATATAGTTTAATCGTTTCTCTATTCTCTCTAAGTTAAATATATATATATTAATATACTTCTTTTATTACCTCTAAAGTTAAATCTATATCTTTTACTAAGCACATTGTATACTTGCTTTTACCATGATAAATATTATTTCTTAGCACTATATTAATATTATATACTGTGTATTATATAAGTGCCGCTACAGGAAAACCCCTAATCGGGCTTTCAATTATATTTTGTACCAGACAAAATCTATTTAATTTCTTAGAGAATATGTCTGGTACAAAATATAATTGAAAGCCCGATTAGGGGTATTTCCTTGGCGGCACTCATATAATTTATAAAGCCTATTGTTTATTAGTCTATTGAAAAAATTTATTTTAATAGAGTTGATTTTTTAGACCAATGGGCTGGAGCTCCATTGGTAACAATGGACAAATTTGCCAACCCTGCATCAAGTCCAATGCGACACATCACAGAATTGTATAATATTTTAAAAAACCAAGATGATGACAAGCCTTATCTGTTTATTTACACTGATGGTGGGCCAGACCATCAAGTAAATTTTCTTCGTGTACAATTTGCATTAATTGCAATTTTTTTGACTTTGGACCTTGACTTGTTAGTTGCTGTTCAAACGCCCTCAGGACACTCATAGAAGAACCCAGTCGAATGTATTATGTCTATTTTAAACCTTGGTCTGCAGTGTGTTGGCCTTATGAGAAGTGAAATGGATGAAGAGTTTGAAAGTTTGGTAAAAAGCTGCAATACAATAGATGAAATTCATAATAAAGCTAAAACAGTACCTCGACTTAAGGAAGGAATAATTGAAAGCTTACAACCTACTAAGGCTATTATGCAAGATATTTTTGAACGACTAGAGCTCAAGGGAGAAAATTTTTTTACATTTGAATCAGCAACAGATCAAGAGATTGAACACTTGTAGGAGTCATTACTTGAATTGGATGATTTATTGGTACTTGAAGACATATCTAGAAAGCACATTGAAAATAAGGTCAGTTTCAATTTGTAAAAAAATTTAATATTGTTGTAAACTCATTCATAAGTGCACATATATATTTAGCCCCGCATTCTTGAATTCATGAACCATTGTTGCCGGTCAAGAACTTATTTTTTTGAAATTAGAAAATGTCAAGTAGCTGAAACTGGTTGCACAATTTGCAGACCGCCACAGAGTAAACCTGATGTATTCATAAAATTGCAACTCTTTTCAGATCCTATTCCTAAAGCAAATGAAGATCACTATATGCCGTTTTGTGAAATATATGGTAAGAACACAAGTGAAAAATACCGCCCATCTTTACTTCAAAAAAGCAACGTACTTACATCAACTACAATTAATGGTCTCGGCATCAATGGTATGGGTTTAGCCCCCGGGCGCAATATGCAACAAATGTGCATGTTTTAGTAAAGTGTATTGAATGCAACAGACTACAGGTACTCTATTCACAACACCGTTTAAAGCCAGAGGAAGAAAATCTTCTCAGAAACTTTATAAAAACAATTGATTACACGTGTGGTACAATGTTCTATGGAATTTCAGATCTCACAAAACCATCAGTTTTAAATAATAATAATTAGACATTAGATATTAGTAATAATAACAATAATCAAACAATAGATATTGATAATAATGATAATAATCCAACAATAGATATTGTTACCAATGATGAAAGTGACAATGATACTGATAGTATGGGAGATAGTGTTGATGAATCGCCTGTGGAACAAGATAAGGTGTCTTTAGAAATATTGTTTAAGCATGTCTTTGTAAATGCCAAGCTTACTTGTTCAACGCCTATAGAAGTGCCATACTTTTCTTCACGTCTTTATCCTGACATTTGTTTTCAGTGTGGCAATACTGAAATCCTTTTACCAACTCCCGCAAGTCAACATTCATACTGTATTGAATGCAATATTTCAGTTAAAGCTAAAAAAAGAAAAGGAAAAGGTACTAAATTTAAGAAAAGAGCAAAATAAGCAGCGAAATAGATGTCAGTATGACAGAGAGGGCTTAGAAATATGTAATAAATGATATAAATAATGGTAATAAATAACATAA